GATATTCAATAGTATGGATCATAGTATGTTAGGGAATCCCGGTTTGGAATTCTAGGGTTCCGTAGAATTGTCCCTATTGCGTCGAATTGTAGGTTGAAAACCATTAGGGTGTCAGATGATAAAAAGGAATGATGAAATAATGTTGTTTGATGTTATAATGGTGCAAAATGGATGTGTTTTGGTGTTTCTCATGTTGCAATTCGTATGGGTATGTTTGGAATTGGTTTAGAATGAATAAATGCTGTCAAAAGTGCAGAATTTGACTCTGCAGGTCGTGGGAACCGGTTCCCAATGGGGAGGAACCGGGTTCCACTGTGTGAATTTATAAAAACTGGCAAAAATGCACGTAGGAACCGGTTCCTGTATAGGTAGGAACCGGGTTCCCATACATTTTTCCAGAAGCGTGATTTTTGAACTTCGCAGGAACCGGTTCCTGCATATGTAGGAACCGGGTTCTGCTGTAACTTTTTGAAAAATATTAAACTTTGAAAATTCATAACTTTCAAACCGTAAGTCCATTTTGAGTGCCGTTTTGGACGTTATTTCTTAAATTTAATGCTCTATTTTATAAAATGAAAAGATTTCCTAAAACCTGAAATTATTTTGAAAATGAGTCAAATCCCGGAATAAGTGATTATTGGCTAACGCACATGGGTGTGTATGTAGCAGTGAACCTATGATGGATGGATGTATTAGTATTGTGTGAATGAAAGGCATGTTTATGTTGCTAATGATGGTGTGCATGATTGTTGAGATATCATGTTTTTAGTTTTGGTTCAATTAAGATAAATTGATGTATTTCATAGACTGATTTGATGTTGCATGCTAGTGATGTGCGTGCATATGCATTGTTTTGGTGAAGTTAATTCCCATTGTGTGGAATTTGACTTGTATTGCCGTTAACCGATACCCGGGTGATGATGGGTGGTTAGGCTGGATTCGTGTTCGGGTGTTTATGGACGAATCGATGGTTGCTGTATCCGGTTGATGATGGATCAGTGTTGGGTGACTTGGTCACGTGTTGGTACCACATGCATTGTGTCTGCATTTGTGTTTGCATGGAATTGTAACATGTTAGGATGTCTTCCAGTATTACAATTCTTTGGTTGATTATTGATTTGTGCATAATGACTTGTATGATTGGAACTGCGTGTTGAATATGAATTTATGCCAAAATGGGTGAAATAATATGCTTGTGATATAATGTTGATTGAGAAGCTTATAATGCATGTTAATTATGAGAAATCTCACCCTTACTTTAACAATTTCAGATTAAAGTTAGCAGCTCAGGAGTTGGTGAGGATGGCTCTAGAGCTATGTTACTTTAAGTCCGCGTGTCAGTGTCGTGCTCTGATAGGTTGTAACACTGGGGAACGTTTAGTTGAGGAATTAGTTATTATTCAATTGTTTCTTTGAATTTCATTGGGAATAATTATGTTTTGGTTTATTCCGTTTTGGTTATGGTATTTTTCCGCTGTGTAAGACATGGTCTTAATTTGATTGAATTATTTGAATAATGACCCTCAGTGTAGCATGACTACTGTTTTATTGGAAGTTTTATTTATTTCATAATTGTGACATCCCTTGTTCCGTGTTAACTCTGATGGAATATGTCTTTAATCATTGATATAATTAATATTATTCGGGGTATTTTAGAAGGGGTGTTACAACCTGCTGGTCTCAAACGAGGGTAGAAAGTAGACGATACTGAACGAACCCAAGTAATAAAAGAGACAAATAAAGAGTAAAAACTCGACTCAAGAAGACTAGATAAAACTGGTCCAAAAATAAGACTTAAAAATGAGTAGCGAACTCGACTCAAGAAGATTAAGATGAGTACCAAGACAAAATTGGATTGCACGCACAGGTAACGAGATAAAATTCGACCTAAAAGCAACTAGATAAAACTAGACTGAAAATGAATATCAGGGTAAGACGGGTATTCAGAAGGTACACCAATAGATATTAAAATGAACCAACAAGGACAGTAAAGACTGAACCTGAGAAAACTATGCCAGGGTAAAACTGGACCAATATAAAAAAATAGTGAGTGGACACTTAACCACCTAAATGGTAACATCAAAAGGATATCTGCATGGGGTGAAACTAGGATATTGAGGATGAAGTGACCTCATTGAGGATATAATCCAAAATTTTGCATATCCGCTGGGGGAAATAGAAACAATAAATGGTTTATGTTTCAATGCATGTTTGAATTACTATATATTTTTTTATGGAGTAATGTTTCTAAAAGAGAATAGAGACAATACACTTTAAGGATGCAATGCAGTGATGCATGATTTTTCTAGAGAAAATAAGATACAAGAAACAACTGGAGAGAAGCCCTTAAAAAGCTGAAATTCTGTGGGGAGTAACAAACTGAGTAATCGGTAAACGCATGCTACAAAACCTGAGGGGAGTTGCAAAAATAAATTGCAAACTCTGTTAGAGAAGATCAAATCAAAACTGTAAATTCTGATAAAGGTCACCAATGAAAATTGAACACTGCTGAGGAAGACACCAATAATATGGGGTCTGCAGGGAATAAAAATTCACCTCTGATTGTTTGAGGCATAATTTGTCACCTCTCGTTTGGGATGACAAAAACTTGCACTACTGGGTGTGTGAGGATCTAAACTGGAGATAAGAGACCTTATGCACCAAAACTCTTGCTATGGAGGAGGTAATATTGGCGTAAGAAGCTCAACTGGGGATTTACAAACACTTTAACAAGAAAGAGCTTGTCGGGGATACGAGAGGCCTAGAATAAGTAATCATGATAGTGTGCTCCTCTAGGGATATAAACTTATCAACATTCCAGGAACAAACTCTATTGGGGAAGATGGAGAATCCTTGAATAAGAGCTTCCGACGAAATGAATCAGTTGGGGAGAAGAGAATTCCTGAGTAAGAGATCTCCATAAGGCAACTTAGCTGGGGAAATAAAAGTCCCTGAACAAAATATTTCTGGTTGTTGTTGTAAGTCAGAAACGTTCTTGGTTTTGGGATTGTTTGGTGCATTTGAAAGGAAAGCCATGGTTGAGGGTAGTAAAAGAACGAAGAAGATGAAGTTCTTAAGATTTATTTTTTGCAAGGAAATAAGGAATATTAGGAGTTGTAAAAATTCCAAAGAAGAGAATTCGTGGCTATTTATAGTGTCCAGGGAAGAGTGTTTTCCCCTAAAACCATTTAATGTTGCAGAGTTAGTGGGGCACGTGGTGAATGTTGAGGCAGTTATCGTACAAGTGATGGAAACGTTTACCATACTTTTCTAGGTTGTTGGGATAATGGCCATCATGGCAACGTGAAAACGGCTGACTGATAGCGACGTCTTGAGAAAAGGGTAATGATGACTTTGAATACCAGCAGTGGTTGGTAGAAGGCGAAAAGTGCACGATTAACTTTTGTGGCAAAAAAGAAGACATGTGTCAAATGGGAATATCAAAGAATGACTTTTTCTCCTTGCGTCGAAATTGACATTCTTGGGGGGTAATTTGTTAGCTCTTAAATTCGACACCCAGACACATTGGTCTTATTGGCTAAAAATAGATTGAAGAAATCTAAGAGATTGAAGAAATCTAAATTAAAGACCCTTTGATTTGGAAACATAGTCTAATTCGAAGATACTTCGAATTGAGAGCCTTTAAAAAGGCCTATCGAAGTCATCCTTGTTAAGAAGGAGAAAACACTTAGAGAATTCTCTAAGTTAGAAATGGTCTTCGACCCAAAGGCTTCGATCTTATAAGAGCCTTCGACCTAGAAGCATTCGTATCAGCAGCAAATTGGATTCGAACTTGTGGAACCTTCAATCAAGAAGCACTTGGATCAAAAGCAACAATTTGAATTCGAATTTGAATAAAAGAGGGAAAGACAGTTCACTTGGCAGTTGAATAAAGCAACGTGACATGAAGTTGGAGATCGAAGAACATGCAAAGGACACTTGTCCTAATCCTGGATCGAAGTAACCGTCTAGCAGTTACTTTTTACTAGTATAAATATAAGAAGTTTATGTAGATTTCTGTGTGTTCAACTAATTGTACAAGTCACTCAATACTATTCGAGTACCCGCTGCGTGAGAAAGAATACTGAGAATGTACGTTTGAAACACCACACTTTATAATCAAAGTCTTTTACATTCCTTTTTACATTCCTTGCCATTCTTGCTTACAACCTTTTATCTTACTTGCAAAGTTTATTTTCTCTTACATTTTACTTGCACTTTTTACCAAACTTCTACACTTAAACTCTTCTCAACCCCTTTCTACTTACTTTTACTTGCCACCTTTCTCAGTCGAATGTATTCTTTATTAAAATTAGCATTTTTATCAAAACAACGCAAATATTTAGCATATGTCCTAGGATCAAACTGATCGATCCTGCAAGTAACCAAAAATTATCCTTTTTAAAAGACCAACGATTGTTTATCAATTTTCACGGTAAACACCTATACACGTTCATTGTATGTCCACTCCAATTTATAACATTATCAAGACATGACTTAGCCTTCTTTGTCAACAAGGCTTTTCAGTAAATAATCTCTCCACTTGAAAGTTACTATTCTCTCTGTTCTTTTTTAAATGTCACTTTTAAAATAATTTTTTATTTTTTTATTAAAACACATTTATTTATTATAGTTAGTGGAGTGCTAAAAAGCGTGAACCATACATTATAATTTCTAAATTAGCAATCATAAACCATAAACTATAAATCATCCAATAACTTATGAATCCACCGCTATTTTTCCTAAACAAACTCTAAAACGGTATAAAATAATATAAATAGTAATAATTTAAGATTACAAAATTAAGATACCTTTTAAAAATGTGGCAATGGGAGAGGGAAAGGAGTTTCGAGTTTTCTATCCAAAAACCAACCTGATATTTGTTTCTACTACAGGTAAGAAGCAGAACCCACTAGTTCAATTTCAACTTCAATCCAACACCATAATCATCGTTTAGTTTTGTCTCTTCACTCATTCATGTGAGTATCTCATCAATTTCAATGCCTCTTCTACCCACTCGCCAAATTCACCCATTCCTCGATTCATTTCACACTTGTCATAACTTCAATTCTCTCCGTTTCTTCACTCACACTTCATCTTCAATCCACAAAAACTTCACTTTCAAAATACCCATCATCAATTTCACTTATCTTCGTTTCAAAAAACCCATTTTTCCTTGCAGCAGTTTCTGCACTGATACCTGGTTGAAACGTTGGAATGAACCCTCTTCCAAACACACCCGTCCAAAACCGCCACGCGCTATTCTAGATATTTCAAGCTCTGATGATGAGGACGTTGGTGGTAGTAGAATGAATAGGATTGTTGAGAAATTGAAGAAATTCGGGTATGAAAGTGATGGGATTGAAAAAGGGTCAGTGGAGGATATATTTTATGTCGAAGAAGGAATGTTGCCTAATACAAGAGGTGGGTTTTCGCCGGAATCTCCATTTGGGGTTGGAAGTTTTGGAAGTGGTGGTGGAGAAGTGAGGTTTCCTTGGGAGAAACCAGTGGTGGATGAAGAGGTTGAAGAGAGGAAGGGTTTGAGGAAAAAAAGTAAGACTTCTATGGCGGAATTGACTCTTCCTGAGTCTGAATTGAGGAGGTTGCTTAAGTTGAGTTTTATGAAGAAGCATAAGACAAGAATTGGGGGTGGTGGGGTTACTCAAGCGGTTGTTGATAAGATTCATGAGAGGTGGAAAACTTCTGAGATTGTCAGACTCAAGTTTGAAGGTGATGCTGCTCTTAACATGAAGAGGATGCATCAGATGTTGGAGGTTTGGTTTTTTACTTTTAGATTCTTGTTTATTCAACAAACTTTTGTTTTCCGTTGGAGCTTCATGAAATTCTTGATACCATTACTAGATAGACTAACCTGAATTGGATGCAATATTATATCATGTTTTACATAAATGGAATAGGTATTCTACCCAAAAAGAGATAGCACAAATCACAATAGCCCAACAATTGTGTTATTTGAAAAACTAAACTTTGAGAACATCCGCGCTATGTTATCAAACTCGGCTGTTATCTCGGCGCGGAACAGCAACACCAGTAAAAATCGCATCAGGCCGTGCCATTCTGTCACAGATGGGTGACTCGGCTAGAACAACCGCGAAAGTGAGATTGGATTCAGAACGACGTCACTCTGACGTGGGGGCTCCAGGAGCATCATCCGTATATGATATTATCCTTTAATTTTTTAGAATAGCAAGGTTATCTTATTGAATTTTACTTGCATTTGGAAGTATGTTTTGCATAAGACTTATGGTTTATATTTTGAAATATGAGTACTTCATAAATTTTGATTAATTTAATTTAGTTTTTAACAATTATGTGTTCATTAGTATTAACCGTGTTAGTGTCCGCGTCACTAAAAATCAGCCGTTTTGCTCCCCACTTCCGTTCCGTTTCCTTTTTGGAGATGACCGTGCTGCGCCGCTATCCGAGATTGCTAACATAGCTTTCACGAAACTTGTAGATTCACGGTTAATCACATCCAAATTCATGGCTAATGAAGTTAAGTTGGTGGTTGATGAGTTTTGGTACTTGATATATCTATTAAACATCTACCGAACATAATTAACCACTTATTTGAATTGTGTTGTTGAGTTATGAGATTTTAGATAAAAGGGGGAGAGAAAATAATCAATACTTGAAATAATATTGACAATCACTTGAGACTCCTTTGATACAAAAGACTCAATATTAATTCCTATTTATAGGGACGGGACGGGATACATAGACTTGATCTAAATCAAGAACAAATTATGATAAAAATAAGTAATATAAAATCTGATCCTAAGAGATACTCTAAATTAATATAATAGTTATTATAAGATATTTTATAATATTCTAATTAGTGTTAACCACTTTAAATGTTCATTAGAGTCTCTTCAAATGTTCTTTATAGCTCCATCTCGGACTATCAATAACCGTTGCTATGTTCTTGTTTATTCTTGATACTACATTCAGAGAAAAACTGGTGGTTTGGTGATTTGGAGGTCTGGCAATTCTGTTTCTTTATACCGGGGTGTGAGCTACAAGGACCCTTCAATACAACATAATAAACAATTATATCGTAAAAGTGAAAACTCATCGAAGTTTTTACCAACACCTTCTAATAAATTTGCGGTGAAACCTTCCGAATTTACTTCTAATTCTGAGACAAATAATTCATTGGAAAAATTGGAATCTACAAATGATCATGAAGAAAAAGTCAATCTTCCAAAAGTCAGTTATGAAGATGAAGTTGACAAGTTACTGGATGATCTAGGTCCTAGATATACAGATTGGGCTGGATGTGAGCCATTGCCTGTCGACGCAGATATGCTTCCTCCAACCGTTCCTGGTTACCAACCTCCTTTTAGAGTTCTTCCTTTTGGAGTGAGACCAACACTTGGTTTAAAGGAGGCAACTTCTCTACGAAGAATTGCTCGGGGACTCCCTCCACATTTTGCATTAGGTTTGTCATCTTTTCCGTTATGCAGTTATGCATGTGAAGTTTAGAATTTCGTTATGATCATAAATTAACATTAAATGTAGGTAGAAACAGGCAGCTTCAAGGTTTAGCTGCAGCCATGATCAAATTGTGGGAAAAAAGTTCTATTGCAAAAGTTGCACTCAAACGTGGTGTTCAGCTAACTACCAGTGAGAGAATGGCAGAAGAGATCAAGGTGATTTAATCATGTTTTTTTTTCCAGTTCCACTAATAAAATTTGTTGACTGTTTTTGTAGCTTCATTTTTTTAGCTCGGGTATCTTGTTATATGCATTTGTAGTACACCACTATGCTATGATTTTTTTATGAACATCTTTTTTAATTACCGGATGCAGAAATTGACAGGTGGCATAATACTCTCTAGAAATAAAGACTTCTTGGTCTTTTATCGTGGGAAGAATTTCTTATCACCAGATGTCACTCAAGCTTTGCTAGAGAGAGAAAGAATGGCAAAAACAATGCAGGATGAGGAGGAGCATGCAAGATTGAGAGCGTCATCATTGATCTTACCGGCTATTAATACATCAGAGTTGTCAGCAGAGGCCGGGACTCTTGGTGAAACTTTGGATGCAGATGCAAAATGGGGAAAGACGTTGGATGAGCGTCATGAGCAAAAAGTTATGAGAGAAGTAGAACAATTACGGCACGCCAACCTGGTTAGAAAGTTAGAAGAGAAGCTTTCACTTGTAAGTCCTTCAAGTTTATGTGTGAAATCGATTCCCACATTATCAACTAGTCTAAAATTTTTGTTATAGCAGTTAGACTTGTTTGATTTTTGAACCTGTTTAAGAAGATTATCTCATATAGACTCTACACATTCCTTATTTATATACAACGTTAGTGGTACCGGACATTTGTCCATTCTTTACATGATTGTGATCCCTGGATTTTTGCTTACCAGGCGGAAAGAAAGATGTTGAGAGCTGAAAAAGCCCTAATGAAGGTGGAGGTGTCTTTAAAGCCATCAGAAAATAGAGCTGACCCAGAAAGTATAACCGATGAAGAGAGATTTATGTTTCGCAAATTAGGATTGCGGATGAAAGCTTTCTTACTTATGGGTAGAGCTCCGTCTAGATAATATTTTCTTTACTCTTTATGTTAAAATTAAATCTGATTCATGATAATGATATGTGAGGGTAATACAATTATGTGGATTTAAAATGAATGAAATCCATGGTTTCAGGTAGGCGTGGAGTATTTGATGGTACTATCGAGAACATGCACTTGCATTGGAAGTATCGGGAACTGGTCAAGATAATTGCGAAGGCTAGCAACTTTGAACAGGTTAAAAAAATTGCACTAGCTCTTGAAGCGGAGAGTGGTGGTGTTCTGGTTTCAGTTGACAAAGTTTCAAAAGGATATTCTATACTTGTTTACCGAGGAAAGGGTTACAAGCGTCCTTCAATGTTGAGACCGAAGAATCTCTTGACAAAGAGAAAGGCTCTGGCACGTTCAATTGAGCTTCAACGACATGAGGTATGCATTCAAACTTATTTCTTATAATTTCAATCTTCATGTAAATAATGTACTAAAACTCATCTTAGTGATTGACCGATAAAAATATATGGTCCTGTATATGTATGCTTTCTTTATATTATCTGTATTCATAATAAACACTCCTTGCCTCATTCTGTTGACAAACAGGCACTTTCGAGTCATATTTCAACGTTGCAAAGTAAAGTGGAGAAGTTAAGATCCGAAATAGTATGTCATACTGATCTATACATTTATCACATCTCATATTGCAATCTAAGTTGTATATTATAAGGAAACCTCTGTTTGCTGATCTTGTTCGGTCTGAACCATTTTTTATAGGAACAAATAGAAAAAGTAAAGGATGAAGGAGATGAAGCACTGTATAATAAATTAGATTTGGCTTATTCTACAGACGATGATAGCTCAGAGGTATCTATCTCTCTCCCCCTCCCTAGACTATAGGAATTCATGAAACCGTATTTCATTTTTTATTTGTGTTAACATTTATATATGTAGGCGGAGGATGACGAGGAAGGAGATGAGACATATCTTGAGAGCTACAATAATGAAAATGACAGTGAAGTTGAAAATGATGCTATCAATTTCCAACCTGAGGAGTTTGCCTCACGTAGTTGAAGGTCAAGAATCATGGTTTTGTGGATCCTGACACTTACGTAAATCACCAATGGCAATTGCAGCTGATTGAGGAAGAATGTAGTAGCTCGTTCAGATCAAACAACTTAAAAGTTCATGCTCAATTCAACGAGATTATGCAAGTGGACACTGTCCCGAATGTAATTGATTATACAGTACTATGGTTAGTATAAGATGTATATACATTTGTTGGTATGAAGTTATTCTAGAATTGAATAATGTTAAGGGGTCTGTTAACATATGATGATTCTTATAGAAAAATATATCTGCTGATTCTGATGTTTTATCTCTTAAAATATCGAACAGAAATCGTTTTATCTATATCAACTTGCATTATAATTACAAATGCATTTTCATTTGCACCAATTTAGAAATTTCAGGATTGTGTCATGTCATGGTCTTACACCAATACATTGAAAAGCCTTTCTTTCTTGTCTTAGTAAAAATCATAGAATTGAAATAAACAATTTTTATATAACATCACACTTCACAAGATAGTAACACTTGATTCTGGAAGAAAACCATATTAGTCATGTTTTTCTGACTAACTTCTCAATTTTATGAATGGATTTCCTTAGCTCTTTCTGAACACTAGACCTTGAAGGTGACAGAACAAAATCATTCCAAACAGAACCAGGTTCCATTAATGGACTGGGTTCCATGTGAAGTTCACAAATGGAATCAGCTTCAGGATTCAAATTCGCTACATTATTCAGGCTTTTGATATCTTCAGGATCCACTAGTAGATTGTGATCACCATCTTTCCACCCAATAAGCTGTTTTTTTTTTATATGAAAAGCAAATCACCCTCTTGTCATTTTAATACTAACTAGTAGAGTGTAAAATCAACCACGAGAGAGGAAAAAAAGTTTCTGTTTACCTTTGGTGGAACACCAACACCATTTGTGCAAAACAACCTTGCATTATCTACAAGTTTGCAATATTTTGGAAATGCCTTAGCAAATCTTTTATGAGATTTCAATTGTGAATTTACCCTCACTGCCCTCCTTGTCATAATAGCTCTCCTGTTAAAGTTACATTACGAAATGTTAAATGATACTATCATAGCCAAAAATCACACTACCAAAATATAGATATTTACCTAATGCCTCTAATAACTGCGAGATAGCCATCACAAACCACACCAACTAGCTCAATTCTGTAAGGCTTATGACTGTGTTGTTCCGCTTTAGAATTTTCCGCTTGCTCTTCGGTCTCATTCACTTCCTCCCAGTAATTTTCAGTAATTGTTCCATCCTCTGCTACTTTATATCCTACCCCCATTCTGTACTTACATTTGTGAACATTTCTTGCCATAGCAATAGTCTGCTCCACAAAAGGCTCCCATGATAAGGTACCGTCCATGATCACGTCTCGACCTTTGTTTAAAGCCGCCACTAGTAGGGACGAAGCAGCATCAATTGAAGATTGATGTACCTGTTCAGATTTTGACTAGTTTAGAGCAAACAAATACAATGGGACATGAAAGTGTTGACATAGAAGCATACCAGTTCAGAAGTTTGAAGCATGTCATCATGGTGACCCCTAGAGTTAAGGGTTTTATATATGAGATCTCTCTCCTTAAAAGCATCTGCCTCAACAACCACAGCCTTTGAAGATGCTCCTAACCAAAATGATCTGCCAGAGCCATTTTATTTATCACACAAAGATAATCATGACTCGCGAGAGTAGAATTAGAATTGATGATACTTACTCTTTAAGAATGTCTTTAAGAACGGTACTCTTTCCGGCCCCCATGCCACCTCCCATGAACAGTAGCACTGGACTCCTTTGGCTGAGCTCTATGGGGACCATGACTCCCTTACCTCCGTCATCGATTACTCGCATCTCTGCTACCAGAGTAGAGAACACTCTTGTCAACTTCAGGTTTCTGGTTACTCTCTCAAATCTTTGCTTCCTGTCAACATGTACAACACTTAGATAGTAGAATAAAACTTCATATAATGATGTGACATTTGAGAGAAAAACTTTACCTTGTAGCTGCCAATAGAATTTCTTGCAGTTTTGTTTTGTGCTGAGACTGATTATTCAATGCCTAAAATTTAGATAAAAAGATACTCAATACTCAACATTCAACACTTAACATGTAAGGGAAGAAAAATGGAATGAGTGAAGAATGAACCTGACTAATAACAAATGGAGCTTGTTTCCAGTGAAATGCAAAATAACTGAGAATGCATCTCTCAAACTCATCAACCAATTTGACATAGAGGGATTCAGAGTCCTTTTCATTGGCAAGATATTCAAATATGCTTTGGTCACAGTCTTTGGATTTTTGTAGATATTGTTGGGCAAGTATGCATAACTCTGGGACCTCAGTAGCATCTTCAAATCCCATTTGCCTAGCTGCTCATTCACACACACACAAGCCAATGTAAAATTATGAATTCATCAAATATTCAGTTTCAAAATAATAGATTCTTGGCTCATAAACCTTAATTTTTAGGTGAAATTTCTTATTGTGACTCCTAATAATTACCTGTTGTATTTGATTCCTATAAAAAAATTAGCTATTCCTAGTCTCACCTCATTTTTATAGACTAAAAATGAAAAAAAAAACATATATTAACTATGGGCTAATTAAACTTTAATATTTGAATTTAGTAAGTGCAATTTAAATTATAAGAAGTCACGAGACTTTTTTTTTTGAGTGAAAGGTAACTTTTTATTCCAAAATTTCAATGAAGTACTAGTCTAAGCAAACTATTATTCAATACAAAGTAGAGATCTATTGATGTGATTAGCTACTTTTCTATGCCATGTACATCTCAAAACTATATTCTCTATGATCCTTTCCTTTACTTTATCATCAGACCCTTGTTGATTGAATCCAAGTCATTGTGAATCCTCTATATGGTGTTCACAGTTTCAGCTGCAGCCACCTTGAGAATTTCTCTTCTCCGGCCCTTCTTTCGAATTTCACTTATCAGCCAGGTTTTCTCAATACTCCACTTGGAGGGATATCAGTTAAAACCATTCCACCCAAGTATGCTTTGCCATATGCCCTTTATACTGTTGCATTCAAAGAAAAGATGTTCAATGAATTCACTTTCATTGCAGAACATGCACTTGCCATCTATCACAATGCCAAGCCGAATAAGTCTTTTGTCGACAGTCCGCCCATGAGGACAAGCCACATAGTGAACAAAGCCCGTGGCCTCACATGGTTAGTAAAAAACAGTTTTTTCTACTCCACATGTGCAAAATTGCCCCTAAGTTCCTTATACATCCTTGAGGTGACAAACCTATCTTTCTGTATAGCTTCCTCCCACAGTATCTTGTTTGTGTTACGCGAGCTCTGGTTTTCAATATTCGTTTCAGCATCCACAAATATTGTTGAGGAGGTTGCCACTGCATGATATCTTGGTTCTTGAGATAATATGCATTTATCCATCTAACTCATAACTCATGTGCTATAATTATATTGTCATATATCACCCTGCCAGGCACAAAAGCTGATTGAGTGTCATCTACTAGGTCATAAATCACCTTGTTGAGTCTTGTGGTCAAGATTTTTGAAATTATCTTGTATATGGTGGTATAGCAGGCTATTGATCTTAAGTCTTTCATGGTTTTTGCATCTGGGCATTTTGGTATCAGAGTCAAAAGGGTGCAATTTACACCTGCATAAAACCTATTGTTTTCAAAGAAATCATGCACATCATTGACAACCTTTCTCTTTATAACATTCTAGCTAGCCTTGAAGAACTTGGCATTGAAGCCATCCATCCCAGGGGCCTTATTATTCCCAGTCCCTTTTAGCGCTTCCTCAATCTCTTTCTCAATTATTAGCTGAGTAAGCTTGTCTTGTTGATCTCTTTTGAGTTAGGTACCATTTCTAAGGACATCAACATCCACATGTCTAAGCTCATGAGTTGCTGTCTCCACGGGATCTTTGTAGAATCCAATAACCTCTCCTTATGTTTCTCTGAAATCAGTTCAAATCTTTCCATGTTGGTCTTCCAGCTTGTAAAGACCAACCGTTAAAGTCATGAGACATTTTAGTATATTGAGATATGAGTTTGAATGTGCATTCTTCTTCTTCTTAGCATTTAGTATGTGAATGACAACAAAAACACTTGGACATCTAATAGAAATTAAGTATACTTCTTCAAAACAAGTAATTTGATTGAGATTTCTTGGAGTTAAAGTTGTTTTTTTAACAATTTTTTATGAACCAATTTTGCATAGCTTCTTCCCACCTTTTCAAAATAATTAAATTTTATTTTTTATTTTAATTTAAAATATAAATATAATATAATAATTATAATAATAAAATTATTCATATTTATTTAAATAATCAACTCGACAAATTTCAAAAAAAATTTATACTTCATAGCCTAATTTTTTGTAAAAACTAAATAGACTTATAAAAACTTTAGACTTTTTTATTTAAATGAAAACAAGGCTTAATTTAAGCCATAGACTATTTCCCGCCCCAAACCACCATAAAGCACCCAACCTCCGAAGTTTACTTTGCTGATAACTTAATCACAAATGTAATATATACAAGTCATCATTATAATAAAATAAATAAATTTAACATTATTTTAATTCACCATTGTATTACACCTTAAAATCTAAAACAAATATTTTTATTTTGTAATTTATAATAATATTTTTACTAAAATTATTTTTTTATTTATTTTGTATTTTGTTTTTAAGATGCAAAATAATAAATTAAGTTAATAGATTTTAGTTAAAAAAATTTATTATAAAAAAATTGAGATGAATTGAACTCCAAAGTGAAAACACTTCTCAAGGATGAAAGAGCATTAGTTACTACTCCCTCCATCTCATATTATTTGTCTAGTTGACTATTTCACAACAGATTAAAAAATAATAATAAATAAAAGAGAGAATAATAATTTTACTAAATTATTCTGATTAATTATTAGTGTATTTAAATTAATATTAATGTTAAATGAGAAAACAATAAATTAAAAATATTTAATAGACAGTATAATTGAAAGATTAAATATAAAATTGCATAATCTAAAGTGACAAATATTTTAAGATGATTTTTTTTGTTGGAATAAAGACTTGTATTATACCAAAAAACATATGGATACACGGCGATCGCAAGGATCCAGCCAACCAAAAACGACAAAGGAAACTAAGGAAGCATTAGGCTAATAATCCTACTTTGCAAAGCTTTACAATGCCAACCCTTAAAAACAATGTTATCTATGATAGTTTTAATCACTTGATTCAAATCCAATCCCGAACCAAAGCAAATATTGTTACGATATATCCAAGCACTATATATAGTTTCAGCAATGGCAAGTCTAAACAAACAGGCTCTCCACCCTTTACCCTTGTCAATCTTGGTGATCCAATCAAGCTCATCCTCCCAAGCTTTAGGCAAATGATGATGAATTTGAATCCAATCAAGCACCTCACACCAAATCCTTCTAATGTTCACACATTCAAAGAAAAGGTGAGAAGCAATTTCAGTTTTAGGACAGAAACAGCAGCTGCTATCCGTGATGAAACCAAACCTACAAAGACGACTTTTAGTAGCAAGCTTATTATGGCAAGCCAACCAGAGAATCACCAAAGCTCCGGGTCTGGCAGGTTGTTCAGCATCAACTTATTCCACGGAACTGGATGATTATCAACCGACGATAAATAACAGCAACGCATGCTAAAAATACCTTTAGAAGACATGTCATTCCAGAGACGGGGATTAGACTGAATGAAAGCCCTCTGGTCCAATATTTTACGCATAATCCAGGAGCTAGAAGCTTTTATCTTAGCCTCCATGATGTTGTGGTACTTCAAGTAATAGGCATGAACCCACTTCACCCAAAGACTGTCAGACTTAACACAAATATTCCAGAGCAATTTTAGCATAGCACACTTATTCCAAATACAGAGATCAATGATACCTAAACCACCTTGCTTAACAGGCTTGCAAACTGTAGCCCAAGCAACCAAATTCCGTCTACTGGCAGCATCTTTCCCAGACCAAATAAAAGACCGGAAAATACGATCAATTTTCTTAAGGACAACTTTAGGAAGAGGGAGACACATTAACCAGAAATTAGCAATGTCAAAGGATATAGATTTCACCAGCTAAATCCGCCCTGCATAGCTGAGGAATCTCGCTGACAATGGCTAATTCTGGCCAGGATTTTATCCACCAGGATCAAGTAATGATTGCAGATAAGCTTCTTGCACATAAGAGGAACCCCAAGGTATCTAAAAGGGAGCGAACCCTCTTGGATTTAGACCAAGATAGAATCTGATTTTTAGTGCTAGAATCAACTGAGCCAAAGTAAATCTCACTCTTACTAGCATTGACCAACATGCCCGTGGACTTAGAAAATTTATTGAAGGCATTGAGGAGAAGTTCAACAGAGATATTGTCCCTTCTTGCAAACAAGAGAACATCATCTGCAAACATAAGGTTAGTCAGCTGTAGATTATCACACTTAGAGTGATGATTAAAATTCGGATTAAGCTGCATATGGGCCAAGCATCTGTGGAGATATTCCATAATAAAAGAGAAGAGAAAGGGAGCAATTGGATCCCCTTGACGGATTCCTCTCTTGGCAATCAATAAGTCAGTAGTACTACCATTAATATAAAATCTATAAGAAGTATTAGATATTGTTGTCATAATCCAATGGATAAAGGCATTGGGGATACCAAGCTCCTGTATAATCAGCTACAACGCCTTCCAGCTCACCATGTCGTAGGATTTTTGCATATCTAACTGGATCATAACACGAGGAGGACCACCTTTCCTACTGTAACCCTTTATAAGTTCATAGGCTAGCAGGATGTGGTGATGGATTTGCTGCCCAGGGATGAAAGCAGACTGATTCGGGCTAATAATACTGCCAATCACTCTACTCAATCTTTTAGTCATGATTCTAGAGATGATTTTGTAAACAGTAGTGCAAACTGAAATGGGCCTATAATCCTTGACAGAGGAAGCAGAATCAGACTTGGGGATAAGGGACACAAGGGTACAGTTGAAGGCTTTTTAGAGTTTTCCCCTATCAAAAAATTCCTTGACAGTAGCTATAACATCCTCTTTCACAATATTCCAACTGGCTTTGAAATTTTTTGCAGAGTAACCATCTAAACCAGAGCAGCAGCATCTTTGATACCCTTGAGAGCATCATATATTTCATCATTAGATATAGGGGCCACCAAAAGTTCTCTCCATGCATTCTGAAGCTGAGCACCATTCCTCATAGCCCTAATGTCTATATAGTTCAGGCTGTCATCACTTTTTCCCATGAGAGAACCATAAAAATTAAGGATTTCCTCTTCAGTCGACTTCTGAAAAGTTATATAAGAACCAACATCCTTCTGCAACATATTCAGGGCTTTAGTTGCTTGCTTGGATTTGATAGAGGCATGGAAGAAGGCAGTGAATCCATCCCCATCCTTAAGCCATTGAATTTTAGCTCTTTGCCTAAGGATGGCTTCATCGATATCATTCCACTTCAGCATGGTTTCAGTATAATTCTTAACCTTCCAGATTTTCTCAGTATTCATAAGGTCACTTGCAAGATCATCCTGAGCTTTGGACAGGTTATTCCTAGCTAAGGCAATGTGGTGTTTTGAGGCCAGAAAATTCTTATTGATCTTGCATAGAATCAGCCTTAACCTCTTCAGTTTGTGCCACAAAACATAACTAGGGCAGCCAACCATCTGGTTATTCCAACAGTCTTTAACAACATCATTGTACCCTGTAGATTCAACAACACAGTTAATAAAACGAAATCTTTTGTGAGGCCCAGGGGACATATTCTGATCACAAAGGTAGAGCATGGCATGATCAGAGACATGGGGATGCAAGATTTTAAGGGCATAGCTCAAGTGATTTTGAAACCAGGCAGGGTTAGCCAGGAAATGGTCTATCATGGAGTAAATGGTCCCCAAACATTGCTTATTGGACTAGGTGAAATACTCTCAAGTACTATCCATCTCAGCAAGATCAATGTTCTGCATTAATTATGTTAAATCCTGGAATTCTCCCTTAGTAACTAAGGAACCTCCAATTCTATCTTTACCATGAAGGACATTGTTGAAATCTGCTACAAGACACCATGACCCCTGCTGATTTAGCTTCTCCACATCCTACCACAAAACCCTTCTTTTCTCCAGTTTATTAAATCCATAGATATTAGTCAGATGAAACCTATGATTACCAAGGATGTCCAACACCTCACAGTGAATCATTTGACTAGTAGCAGAAACAAGCTTGACATCAATATTATTCTTATTCCAATTGATCCAGATCCTGCCATTAGCATGGCAATTATAGTTATCAATAAAATTATCACCAAGATTTAGCAGCTTTCTAATTTTATCCGCATGATGGACTTTGACACGAGTTTCCACCAGGATAATAATATCAGCCCTAAGCTCTAGGAGACGGGAGCTAATCTCCCTAAGCTTAGCATTTTTATTAAACCCCCTCACATTCCAAGACACTAGCATTAGCCAGGATTTTGGAGCTCAAGAAGATCATCCAAAATCTCTAGAGCATCAAATCCATTATCGCAGAACAGTTTATCAGGGGGGTTTTCAGAGGTTTGCATCTTACCTTTATCCTTGCCCCTTTTCACTGCAGAACAATTACCATCACCCTGTTGACTAGTAGAAGCAGCTTGGGCCACAGGGAGACTATTACTAACAGATACATCAGCAGGTTTAGACTCCAAAGACTTATTGGCCTTAGGCGGCCACTGTTTTACCTATACCTTAGGTTTTTCACAGTTGTGGCCCAACTTTTGACAAATTTTGCAAAACGCGGGCCTCCATTCGTATTCAATTCTTTGCTCCATCTTGTTCCCAGAATCATCACAGATAGTGATAGACTTAGGGAGCTCTTTTGTGACGTCTACCTCCACAAGAATTCTCGCATAGGAAACACGCAGGCGGTTAGCAGTACACTCATCAGTCACAATAGGGTTACCCACTACACTTCCAATTTTGTTAAGGCTAATATCCCCCACTGATAGATAGGCAGTTGGGGAAGCTTCACCCATAGAGGAAGAGTACGCAACATATCATCCTTCAAGTTAAAATCAGGGCGCCATTCACGGATGAGAAGAGGCATACTCCGGAGCGTATAAGGGCCCCTCATAAGAACCTCACCCCTTTCTCTAAATGAATTAAATCGCAAAATAAAGTATCCCTCTTCATTATAATATATATCCGGCAGCTGGACAAAATTCCAAGTTCTTGACATGAAAATTTTCACCCCATTCATGCTTAGCTCCCCACCTAAGGCATATAACACTAGAGACGGTTCCCAAAACTTGATCTCTGCACGAATGTCCTCTTCTACAATCAAGACTTTAACTTCTCCACTCACAGTCTTGGGGGCGATAAAATTCATGGCTCTACCCTTAGAAGGATTTCTATTATCATTCAGAACATCAACCCAGAGCTTCCTACTTGCAGTAGGTAGATATTTATCCTTCTTATTAGTAACATCACAATTTACCTCATTCTGCAACATCGTATCACCATCCTTGTTTCCTCTAACAATGGTTACAATATCATGCCCACGCGAAAGAGACAACCCAGCTTCAAGCGGAGCTTGTGAAACGAGCGGCAGGAACAGAGGTTTAGGTCTGGATGGAGGCGACGGTGACACCGCTTTCTTCGGACGCCCTGGCTTCCCCATCACCAATAATATTACAAATATAACACTTATTTTGAGACATAAATAATATAAAGTAATGATTTTTCTACCAAAAAAATAACAATTTAATACTTATTGAAATATTATTGATCGAAAAAATACATTGAAAAGAACATATAAAAATTATAAAAAATTAGAAATCAAAATTAATAAAAAAATGTTATAACAATAAAACTTTATGGCTCCCACTAAAATGAGCTTTTTCTTTAATGGTCACAAATAGAAAATTAGTTTTCATCATATGTCTTTTTTTTGTTGACAAATTTTCTCCGAATATTAATATCTAATATTGTCTATTTGAGAAAAACGTTAAAGGCCATACTTATTGATTTATGCAAATATAATAATGTGGTTGGCCCTAATTAGGTTATGCAAATATAGTAATGTGGTTGGCCCTAATTAGGTTCAGGCAAAAAAATTTAACTAGTTCATATGACAATAAAAGATTTATATGATAACATCACAAATTTATAATTTATTTTATTGAATTATAATTTATTTTTCAGACACTATTTTAAATAGTATTTTAATTTATAGTTTATAACTTATCATTTTTCTTTCATTTTTACTCTTATTATTTTATCTAATATCCTTTATAATTTATATTAATTTAAAATAAAATAAATATATATTAAATGTCTTTTATATATTTTAATTTATCAACTAATTAAACTGTTAATTTTACTAAATACTTCAATTAACTTGTCAGCTATAAGTGGTTAGCTATCAGACTTCAGTTATAAACTATCAGTCATCAATCATCAGTCATAAACTATAAATTATAAACTAATTTATCATTCAACCGTTGTTTTTACCAAACAGAGCCGCTTTAATGATAAAAAATTTAATAAATATATAATTGTACCAAAATAATATAGAAATGATTTAACTAAGTATTTATAAATTAAAAAAATTAAAGCAAATTCAATTTCAGGAGTTTATCACACGATTATGATATAGGAGTCAACTTTTAAGGCTAAATATTTATAAATAAACTACTTTGATTTCAATATTTTTGTTTACATATGATTCAAGTCAAGGTTTTTGTCCCTATGATATTTTATTAATTATAATATTGCAAAACATTTATATTTTCTGTTTTCTTAAGCAATTTATCTTCCCAGCTTTTCTACTCTATTTCATTTTCCTTGTTTTTGACAAATAAAAGTTTTTAGACAATATTTTAGGGTAAGCATGCCTTATCTCCTTTGTGAGTATTTTTATGTGGATGAAAAAGGAGTGAATATTAGGTAGCCAGCAAGAGAGTTCTGAAAAAGGTAAAACATACATACCAACATAGTGTGAGAATTTTTCTATCTTTTGAGTACGTCCTGATTCTGATCTATCCACTTTGGGAATGATCTTATCGTCTACAACCACTGTTGACACTTGCTTCCGGTAACGCGAGGCGGCGGCAGCCGCAATCAAGCCGGCAAAGGAGGCAGCCAGAACATGTGTGAGGCGGATGGCTTTGCCATAACCATCTGAATAACAACAGTAAATGTTAAACTTGTCATGTTGTTGTAGAAACATAATGTTTATGTAGTGTGGAAAAAAATGAAGAGAAAAAAACAATACCTTGTTCCATCTTGTTGGAGATTTACAATCAGAATGTCAGATTTACTAGAGCAAATAAAGAAGCTATGAAAGACTACTTAGTTGGCTGCATTCATTATTTGCGTTGCTCAAATTCAATGGAACAACTCATTCTTCCATTATTTAATACTCATTTAATTTCTTACGATATTAGATATTGTGATCTCATGATATATAATGTGACAGGGACATATTGTGAGTTGAGTATTAGTGCAAATTTATTTTCTTTTTATAGTTACAACACAAATTTAGACACTTTATATGTCATAGTGATAGGAAGCTAAAAATACTATATTAATAAAAAGTTGTAAATTATAATTAGAAAAAAAAGGATAAATTAAAATTATAAAATAAAAGATATTTTTTATTTCATTTTATATCTTTTAATGTTTCAGAGAAGTTACAAGTATAAAATTGTTCATTGCACATAATGCATTACTTATTTAGTGAAAAATCTAAAAACACATGTTTCACATGGTTCATTGTTTGAAATTCGGACCCACCACACCACAATAAACCTCTTCATTTTGAATCACGCAAATGCAAGTAAAAAAATATGTTTGGATTACAAAATCTGAATATAACATATGAACATTAAAATCCAGGCACACCACATATTACAATTTATAAGGGAGGTTAAGTTTACTTGAAAAGCACTACAAATATATCTATCTGAATTTTAAAATATAGATATTTGTTAGATGTTTCTTTCTCAAAATTGATTTGCAATGCTTTTCAATTGTGATGGGTTTGTGTTCATCTCCTCTGGGCACACTACAAAAAAAAGCTTAGTTGCCACGTGAAAATCATGTGGCAAACATCAAAATCACGTGGCAAGGCAAAATTAGCGACGTGGTGAGTTATGTCGCTGGGGAGTAAGTGGCAAGCAAGTAGCGACGTGATTCCCACGTCACAAAGTTGTGACGTGGTATTCACGTCGCTACATATTTGTTAATGACACCTTTATTAGCGACGTGAGAATCATGTCACTAATTTGTGACATGATTCCCACGTCGCTACAGGGGACGTTTATATTTTTTAAAAAATTGTTAATAATTATTTTTTATATTAATTCATTAATGTAATAAAATTTAAATAATAAAATTTATATAATAAAATTTAAATAATAAAATTTATATAATAAAATTTATATATTAAAATTTATATAATAAATTTTATATAATAAAATTTATATATTAAAATTATTAGAATAATAGTATTTTATTTTATATTTCGAATAATAGAATTTTATAAAATAAATTCACATAATTAAATGTTATATAATTTATTAATTTAAAATGATAAAAATAAATATATCTTACATAAATGCGAATATAAAAACGAAATAAAAAAAATGTTTTCACGGGGCATCTTCACCCGGAAAATTATCAAGATCAAAGTCATCAAGTCCGTCATCATCCGGCTGTGTATGATCAGGAACATTTTGATTTCGACCGCCTTGCATAAACTGTCTCATCTGCTCCTCCATATCAGATTGCCGCTTCCGCATGATCTCTAACTGACGCTCCTGCTCTTGCCTCATTGTCGTCATTTGGGCCTCCATTTCGCGTCTCACTTCACTGGCCGCCAATTGTCGTACTGTTTCAAGTTGAACCTGAGTCAGATTGGGTTGACGTGACCCCCCTTCTCCATCTCTAAGTCTTTGAAACAGATTACGATCACCAACTCTCAAGCCGGCGGCCAAATTTCCTCCCGCAAAAAAACAACCATTAGGCCCTTTTCCATTAACAACCTCATTCCAAATATAGAAATCAACATCCCCATTAAGCGGCTCCCCCTCTGCTGGCCTATATTGCGGATTGTGTTCCAGAAAACGTGCTAGCAATGTCTGATAATCATCCTACACATACATTAAATAATACAATTAAAAAAAAATTAAAACAGTTATATATTAAATTATACTAAATTCAAATATATTAAAAATTTGTCACGTGATTTTCACAAATCAACTTATGAATTGCCACGTGAGTTTCCCGTGGCAATGTATCAGTTGCCATATGAAAATCAGTCACCTGGCAATTTATCAGTTGCCACATGATAATCACGCCACAACTTATAGATTGCCACGTGGAAATAACGTCACTATTTTTGTTATTAACTTAAAAAAAAAACATAAGTTTAATTACTTACAAAAGCTTTCTGGGTGCGGTCGTCGACAAAACCTCCCGATTTTTTTGTCCTAGTCCTCGTAATCAACTCAATGATCAACGGTGGTCTCCCCATCTCCTTAGTCTAAACAATAAAGTTAAAAATAATTAGTAAAAAATATTATGAATAAAAATATATATAACTTAAAAAATTAGTAATATTTACCATCCGCCGGACATGCTCTGCAGTGCTAATACTTCCAACAATATTGACACATCCCCCCTTTTCGGATGCCCTCATCTTCTTAAAATTTTCGGATTTGGCCTTGAATTCTGGCGAACTCCAATATGTACGAAGTTCGCCAAAAACCTCTACGCCTATCCAGTTAGGACGGATACCATGCAGCTCATAATTCTCCCTAACCCGCCGCATGATATCAGAAAATCTTCTAGAAGTTCTGCTATAATATATTTTTTCCATTATTTTCTCATTCAACGGATCCCACACACATTTTTCCTGCAATGTTGTATGACATTAAAATAAAAAGTTAAGCAATTATCATTAAAATGTGACTTAAATAACAATACTAAAAAAATATAATAAATTTACAACTTAAATAAATAACAATACCTTAAATTTTTTAAACCATTCTTCTTTATTTGTAACCTCGCCAAAGTTCTTCCAAGAGGATTTATACATCTGCTGGATTATATAATTAATAACCTTGGCAGCCGTCCGACTCGGCGCGAAACTAAACAACAAGATTTTGAATAAACAATATTAATTATAAATTTATACAAAATATTAAAATGAATATGTACTTAAATAAAAGTTTATATAAGAAACTTACTTGCTTCCTTCGGGCCAAATCCAAAACCTCCCGTCAATTACATGAATCTCACTCGGATCATCTGATCTCTCACGACTATCAGCTCCATCTATATCATCAGCTACGACATCTGCATCACCGCCAGCCTGTGTAGCACGTGGGGTGCTGGATCCTGCAGCCTGTGTGGGATGAGGGGTGCGTGACCCTCCGGTCCGTCTAGGACGTGGGGCGCGGGATCCTGCAGCCTGTGCCGGACGTGGACTGCTGGGTCCTCCAATGTGTGTGGAGTGTGGGGTGTTGGACCCTCCCGCCTGCTGGAAGGATGAATACATCTGTGTGGGTCCCCCTGTCTGCTGGAATGATGAAGGCACGCCAGTCTGTATAAATGGAAAACTGGGTCCTCCCCCCGTCTGCTGGAATGATGAGGGGACACCAGTCTGCTGGAAAGATGAAGGCACCTGGGTCGGTGGGAAAGGGAAACTAGATCCTCCCGCATGCTGGAAGGAAGATGGCATCTGAGTCTGTGGGAAAGGAACACTAGATCCTCCCGCCTGCTGGAAGGATGACGGCATCTGGGTCGGTGGGAAAGGGAAACTAGATCCTGCTGCATGCTGGAAGGAAGACGGCATCTGAGTCTGTGGGAAAAGGAAACCGGGGCCTCCAGGTGGCACAAAAGATGCAGGTACCCCAGACGGGAATGTATGGGAGGAGAGTAATGGGACAAAACCCTGAGTACTGGCCAGGGACATATGGTCAACCTGACTCTGAGGGGGTGGGCACATGGCTGAGTGAGGAGACTCACATGTTACTACCCTCGGACGCTGAGACTTCTTACCGGTATCCTTATTCTTCGGTGCCATTTTACCTAGTTATATATATTTTCATAAACAAAGATAATAAAGTCATTGACATAAATATATATTCATTGACAAATTCACTATATACATGTTCAATAGATATTCATTAATATTACATTAAGTGATTAATTAATCTAAATCTTCATGCTCGTTATCCATATCATGTTCATCATCCGATGTAATATTGTCCTCGGATTCAAACTCTTCATCATTGTCTTCATCCATATTATTATCAACCAACAATATAGACGCATCAACTTGAAGGCCCTCAACAGTTGTATCGGACAAAGTTGTAATGTCTTCAGCTGCAACCACATCATTAATCTGTTCAACGTCATCAACTTGGTAGGCAACATCTTCCACTAGATCTCCAGTTTCAATATGACCTAGCGGTTTTGTTTTTATTACAACACACCATCCTCTTTTACGTATTACAAATGAAGGATAAGGAACATAATAAACTTGCCTAACAATATGTGACATTATGAAAGGGTCATATTCTTTGTGCCTAACAATATTCTTTGTCTATCTTTGTGCCTCTAGTTGGATCATACCATTCACAATAAAACAAGACAACTTTATTTTCCGTGTCCAAGTAATTGTATACCAACTCGTAGATATGTTTAACAAATCCATAGAAGTCGTCTTCACCGCCATCTGTAACTCCTTTTACAAAAACACCACTATTTATGGTTTTTTTCCCTTCGGTCCATGCCTCAGTGTGAAATTTATATCCGTTCACGAAGTATGTGTGCCAATCATTTGCGCTTTGGATAGGGCCTTCTGCCAAGTTTCTCAAATGGAGTATTTCTGGAGTTAGTGCAGGAACGCTAGACAATGTTTGCTTGAACCATGAGGGAAATTGAGCATGAATGACACCTGATGTTGACTGTACCCCGGTACTATGAAAATAGGCATTGTTAAATTCCCTACAAAAAACACACAATAAGTTTAATAAGTTTGGTATACACACACCATAAGTTTAAAAAGTTTTGGTAAACTCACTCAAGATATGGTTTAACTTCAACGCAGTTGATCAAGACATGGACATGTGCAGATTGCATTTCTTTTTGGGTCAACCAATGCACACCCTTCTTTCCAGAAGGTCGACCTGGTAGCGCAAAGACTGATAAGGTGAATTGACTCCTCTGATTGACATTTACAGGATTCCGTATGATTCTAGGAGTTAACATCAAG